GATGTTGTACTCTGCATATTCGTCGTTCTGTTTGCTGTTCACATCTGAGTAAGTGGCCCTTGGTGTTTTACTTGTTGTTGCCAGGTTGCTCTTGAGTTCCTGTCCGATCGCAAGTCGAAGTTTTTGATGGCGTTGGAAGTTGGCCGAATGGATGAGGCTCTGGAAGCTGCGAAGGCTTTAAACGACAAAGTCGGTACTCCCATTTCTTGCGTTTCCCTGTGTTCACGGGATCATCGGCCCCCGCTGGAATTTGCCATAGCGGCTGGATTTTTTTTGATGCCTTTTTGTTCCATTACCAGCACTTCACCTCTTTCACTACCCGTCTTTTTGATGCATTTCCATTCCGTCACCAGCACATCACCTTTTAACTACCCTTTTGACCAGCAGCTGCTGTGGTTTTGGCGCATTGTTGGTGCCTCTTTTCCAAATCTTCTCTCTTCAAGACTCCTTACCAACTTTGGGGGGCTTCTGAACGAGCGACTTCCGCCAAGCGAGCACATGTCAAGTGGGCGACCTCGTGCGTAGTTGTTGCCTGTTGTTTGGTGCAGGCAGGGTGGCGTCTTCTAGGGGACGCTGCGATGCAAGAAGGCTGCTTCGGGCTTGCGGAAATCTGCTTCCAGAAGCTGAAGGCTTTCGAAAAATTGTCGTTTCTCTACTTGCTACTGGGCGATCGCACAAAGCTCAAGAAAATGCTGCACGTTTCCAAGCTGCTGCGCGAGCCTCTGCTACGACAGCACCAAGCCTTATTGCTTGGCGACGCAGAAGAGAGAGTAGATGTCTTTATGGAAGCGCAGCAGCCTGGACTTGCGTATCTTTGTGCGAAGACACATGGCTTAGATGAGCTAGCTGAACAGCTGAGGGGCTCTGTTGATGAAAAGGATGTTGAGGAGTTCTTACCGAAGAATCCTGTTGCACTGTTTCCGCCTGTGCCGATCATGAGGTGAATGCACATGAAAGTTTGATTAAAACTCAATAGAGGCTTCACTTGTGGGTAGAGGCTTAACTTGGCAAGTCCAAACAGAGTCTGCGTGCAGGCGTTTTTCTTAGTATGTCGTCGTCTATAAGTGTGGGCAGTGCATGGCAGCTGTTGGGCTACGGTGCATGAAGTTGGGCATTTTAGAGATGCACGGTTTGCCTCCGGATTGCAACTTTTTGGTTTGCCGCATAGATTTGGGCCGGGAGAGACAGCGACGTGGAAGCCTGCGGCTGCAGGGGAAGTTTCTGCGTTTGCTGCGGCACTGCGGGCTGTTGATGAAATGGATCCCGAGACAGCGCGGCTGATGCTACATAGAGGCAGGTTCTACTACCGTCCCAAACCCCTCATCCCGTAGCAGTCAGAACGAGCCTTCAATTTTATTACTCCTGCTTGGTTAAGGAAGCATAAAGCCTACGAGTGTATTGAGCTGGTGCTTCACGACTTTAATGAAGTATTGCAGTTTATTCTAAGCTTCTCGAGAGTACTCGACCGTCTCAGGTTTTGATACGGATGAACCGGATGCGTCAGCACAAGTTATGTCCGGAAAGGCAAGGGATTGGGGAGAAGCTGGCGTGGTCGGCAGTGATGAGGGTGAGGACTTTGCTTCTCTTGGCGCAGCCGCAGAAGGAGAATGGAAAGATGCAATTGATATTGGAGTAGAAGATGATGCGGCTGTATCCGGCGCTGCTGGGGCATGGAAGGCTCATGGAGCTATAAATGGAAAGTCTGGAGAGGCCTATGCGGAAACACCAGGCGCAGATCCAACAGTTGCATGGAGGCAGAACCCCATCCCATCAGATCTTGTCGTAGCAGGTAATGCGATTGCGCACTCCCATCCGGACGAGCTTATTCGTTCGAGTGTTTCTATGATACGCCTTTTCATTAACTCGGTTGCTTCAAGCGTCATTTACTGGGCTCAGCTTCCCGGTGTAGTTGATCTTCAGTTTCCCTCTCCATGTGGTGCCTTCGTGTCAGCGTGTCTTCCTTAAATCACGTTTGGACTGTCAGTATGTGCAGATCCATAGGTTGCATGAAAGCTGTGAGCTGTACGTATATTTGTGCTCTGAAGGGGACTTCACTGGGGCTATCCAAATGTTGCGACGTCGTCTTGGCCTTCTACGTGTTGCTCCGCTTGAACCGATATTCCAGAGAGTATATGAAGCTAGCTGGGCTCAGCTAAAGGGGCATTCTCTCGTCCCTCCTTTGCAGTTGCCTCTTGTAGGTGGAAAGCCTTACAGGGCAGCTGACCCTCCTCGCGTTGTAAACAGCGCGCTTCTCCTCATGCAGGTTAGAGAAGCGCACAAACTGGTTACAGGTGCGTCAGCACTTTTGATTTGGTTTGGATCTCTCCTTTTGTTTTTCTGTTGAATTGCATGACTAGTTTGCGTGTTCTTATCGGGAGTTTTGCATTCTGTGTATCAGGCGGGAAGTTTGCGGAAGCACTCACTGCCTTTCGACAGGCCCTTCTGACGCTTACACTCGCAGTAGCACAAAACCAAGAAGAGGAGCAACAGGTGCACCCTCAGGCTGCATTGTTCTGTGGACGCAGCACCAGCCCTCCACCTCGCTATCTGCGCTCTTCGCTGCTGAGTTGCACACTTTGGGTTACATCCAGTTGTTTCACAGCGCTTCAGTGTTCCGTGAACACTAGAGCTGCGTATGCCTGCTGTTTTTACTGTTTCAGTTGTTGGAAATGCTGGACATATGTAGAATTTACATAATCGGCATGAAGCTGGAAACGGCACGATTGATGCTGGGAGAATCTGATGCACAAAGAAGTCCGCCCATTCTCTGCTATCGGGAGCACTTGTGCATCCCAGTGTGGCTGTTTGCTTGCCAAGAAGTTGATAGCGTCTCGCGCGTGCCCTTTAGGATCAAAATCTACGTAGTTTGAGCGCCCAGTCGCCGATTGCTTGACTTTCTATCCGAGCTCGATCAGTTTGATATGTATTGATTTTCGTATGTAGACGCCGCGTTCCCTTGCGTTGCTTGCAGACCTGGAGCTTGTCGCTTACTTCAGTTGCTGCCGCTTGCAACCATCTCATTCTTTCCTTGTCCTCCGTCGAGCAATGAGCGTAGCTTGGAAGGCTCAAAACTTCATAACAGCCGCTTCCGTATGTCTGCATCCTTGACAGGAGCACGAATTTTTCCCTGTGGAAATCCTGACAAGCACTGAGGTTGCTGTCCGCTCCAGTCTCCACTAACAAAAATTCTAATTTGTCGTGTTTTGGAGGCTATTTGTGCAGTTCGCTCGCCGGCTGCTCTCCGGAACGTACTCGGGCTTGAAAGGTGCACCAGAAGAACTGGCGAAGGCAAAAAGAGTCCTTCTGCTTTGCGAGCAGAAAGGAACAGACGCTATAAACATAAATTATGAGCCCGGAGAGGCAGGTACGCCGCTTAAAACACTGCAGATTAGGCAATATTCGACGCGGCTAGTCCAAACGCCAAGCTCAAATCAGTGGTGATATTTCTGTGACGGACAAGGTGCAAGCTTAACCGGCCTGTTTCCGTGTCTTCAGAAAACATTCTTCTTTGCACGTCAACAATGACGCGGTTGAACCCAGGCACTCCAGTTGTTCGTTGCGGTTTTTGTGGAGCAGTGGCCCAGCAACAGCTGCAGGGTTCACTTTGTAGAGTGTGTGAAATTGCAGAGCTAGGTGCCAGAGTAAGCAAGGGGGGAACTAAACTCTCATTATCTAGTTACACTAGGCATTTAGATCGCCAATGCTTGGTCAGTTGCTCTGATATAAAACTACCCACGCAGCTGCATGCGCTATGTGGAAGCATGAGTTCCCGTTGTCTCTTCACAATGTTCATCTGCTGCTGTTCTCAGGTGGTTGGCATTCAGTTCCTCCCAGTAGTGTAGCCTGCGTCGTAACCGTTTCACCAACTCGGAAATTGCAAGAACCTTTGTATTTAAGTGTTCTGCATGTAAACTGTGCATTGTATTTGTAGCATTTACTAGTACCGAGGTTTGTTAAATTTCAGTTCATTGATAAAACGCAGCATTGAAATATACCTATCGCTCTAGACTCTAGACAGTTCCTGCTACGTAGCGTGCAGATGTGGATATCGGGGCACGCTGTACCTCGCGGTTGAAAAGGATTTGTAGCTTGCTTTGAGGTTGAAGAAAAACCAGCTTCTTTTGGAAAAATAGTGGCGTTTTGACTTCCACCAGTTGTTAGGTAGGCGTTAGAACCCCCGTTGTTCGGCCCAATTGTAAATCGAATGGAGTTGCTTGCTAGATTTCTGCTACAAGTCTGTTTTTGTAAGAGGCAACTTGGGCTCCAGATGCCCCCTGTTCAGTGGCGTTCCATTGCGGTGGTGGGAGTACTCTCGCCTCACTATGAAGTATCAAAAGTATAACAGGACGTTCCAGCACGCCGCTGTCTAAGGAAAAGTAGCGAGCAAACAAGCTATGGGCAACCACATCTTAATGGACGGTTTTGCTTTGCTAAAAACAGTCGTCGTCCGGCAAGGCCTTACCGTTTCCCGCGTTTGGTAGATCGAAGCCTGTGCACCGGCCCCCTTGACTGGGTAGCTGAGCTCAAGGGTTCAGCTTCCCTACGCGCAGCAACAGGCGCATCGGCCGGAGCTGCACGCCCGTGTAAACACAGGTCGACGAAAAGCGGTCACAAAGAGCCATAATTTAGTACCTCTGAGAAATCGATGCGCTGTGGTCCTCACACAGCACAAGCAATTGGGCATGTGAAGAGAATACACGCGCTACTGTGGTTCCAGGCTGGATTTCATCTCTAATAAAGGGCGGCACACTGTTTGCCATGAACTCCACAGCTGCTGCCTCGCGCAGACCGTGATCTTTTGAACCCAGCCAGTGGGTCAGCTACAACAGGTGTATGTGTATACATGTATGCTTGCAGAATCCAAATGCTGTAAGGACCCAAGGCGGTAGATGGGAGGAGTAGTGCGCCTTCCATCCATGCACTGTTCTCTTTTCATGGGACAAAGAAGGCAGATCCGCAGTGGCTGATGGAGATCCCCAAACACTGAACGCCTTCAGAGCCTAATACCTGAAGCGTTTTGTGTTTGCCGCGTGCATTGCCTCGGACCGTCCCGTGTAGGAGCTTGTACGGCTGCTTTCAGAGATTGATCGGGGTAACCCGGCTTCTACGGAAGGGTCTGCTTCCATTTCATTTTGCGCTTGACCCTCTACTCCATGTAGGCGGGTGACACGCCACTTCCACTTTTTCTCTGTCGTGCTCCAATCAGCTATTGCCTCGTGATCTGGCCCAAGGTCCCCTGCAAGTTCAGGCAATGACATACAAACGACATGCCACGAGATGGCCAAACCAACAACGAACATAATGCAGTGCTTCTTCAAGTGTTGCAGAAACTGCACATGTTTTTCTGAGCAAGACGCCGTGACGAGCAGGGGCGGATGCAAGAATGCGCTGTGCTGTGGGTGGGGGCGAACCGTTTAGCAGCATCACAGAGAGATCCGAAACGATGTGTTTCTCCAAATATCTTTTGAGGGGTCGTGCCCCAAATGCTGGATCGAATGCCTCTTCTAGTGCATGCTCCAGCGCTCTGTCAGTTAGTTGCAAATCTATACGTTTTTCGCGGAGGCGCTGACGGACCTCATCCACTTGCAGCCGCATCACCTACACCGCCCCACGCTCGTCGAAAAAGAAGATATGAAATGAGTCCCGATTATGGGCAGAAGAGCACTAAACAGAGGTAACTGTTCATATATATTTCTGTCAGGGTTACATTTGCACGCCAAAGCATATAGGCCACGAAGTACAGCTTTTGAAGCGTTCAAGGGCTACCAGTGAAGCACGGTCCATCCTGCTATGAGAGCCTCAGCTAAGGTGATACCGAATTCACGGACCTCCTTTAGGTCCGTATCACTGAGCGCTTTAAATGCCACGATGTCGTCCAGGCGGTTGAGCAACTCGGGTCTAAATATATGTCGCACTTCCTTCATCACCTTTGTGAAAGCTTCAGCAAAGGCCTCCTCAGCCTTTTCTGGACCTGAATTTCATGAACACCGTATCAGTTATGCATCACGAAGACTACGTAACGCAGTCAGTCAGGCATGAGCATTCCCCCAAGTATAAGGATATCGACGTAGCTATTTCGGAGCAAAAACTCGCAGTCCGAATGGCGATACCAATGTATGGCCATTGTAACCCGGCAACAGATTATATCACAGAGACTTTGCATTGGTGAAGTAAGTGAATCAACTGATTTAGCCGGAACTAGTGATGCCTGCATATCGAAGAGATAGGAAAGAGTCCATACCGGCCACATAATTCTCAGCCGCTGCAAGAAGATGATGGGCGCCTATGTTTGAGGTGAGAATTAGCAAACAGTTGGAAAAGTCCACAGTGCGGCCTTGAGAATCAGTGAGGCGCCCTTCATCAAGGACTTGCAGTAGAACATTCCAGACCTGACAACAGCTATTCGAACTCTACAGTTTTGAGTTTCACGCACTCGCTAGCATTCAGCCGTTCGGATAAGTCTGCTGTAGACGCGAACAGTGGCACCACACCTACACTGCACTGCTCTCGGGAACACCGCTATTGACTGAGTCTCTTCGTATCTGCCGACTGCGCCGATCTAATGTTCTCCCAGCTTTCCCTTGAACTCACTTGGTGATGAGCCTTCTCCACTTCATCAAGTAATACTACTGAATAGGGGTTGCGCCGGACTGCCTCGGTGAGCTGGCCTCCTTCCTCATGGCCAACGTAACCCGGCGGGGCCCCAATAAGTCGAGCGACAGAATGAGACTCCATGTACTCTGACATGTCCAAGCGTACGATGCGTTCTTTTGTATCGAACAGCTCTTCAGCCACAGCTTTGCACAATTCCGTTTTCCCGACTCCGGTCTATGCCATATTGCATTGGCAAAAAAATGCACACCAATGCACTGCTGCAAAAGCTGCGGCCAAACTTTCTGAAGATTGTAGGATAATCAAAGCAATGCCAACTATGTCATTGATGGAAATTGTCCACCAGCGATGTGCTAAAAAAGGAGTTTCATGAGGTTTCAAGACAACTCACGGGACCTAAAAAGAGGAAGCTTCCTATTGGCTTGTTACGTCTGGCGAGCCCTGCTGCTGACCTCAAGATTGACTCAGATACGGCAGTAACAGCTGCAATCTGCCCAACGACACGCCTAGAGAGTTTTTCTTTGAGCTGCAAAAGCCGTTCTTTTTCTGTTTGTGTCAGCTTTTGCACCGGGATGTTTGTCCAACGGTGCACAACGTCAGCTATCTGCTCTGGGCCAACAACCTGCGCCACAACAACAAGCACGCAATCGTATCCCCGTTAATTCCCCTCAACCTACCCCGCTCATGTACGGAAAAGATCGCAAATAATTGGAAATACAAAGAATTTTCCGCCACCGCTGCAAAAGCTTGTAGGGCTCCTTGGCGCAGCAGCGCACGTCTTGCCTGCTTCACATTTCCCATGTTTTACTCATATCTGTCTAAACAAGTACATTATATTACACTGCAAAGCGGTACCTCTGTCAAGAGCGGTTTGTGCGTCTTTTCATACGTCTCCTGCTCCTTTCGCAGCTCCGTGAGACGCTTCTGCAGTCCAGGCAGCGCGTCGTACCGGAGCTCTGCGACGAGATCCATCTGGCCAAGCCTCTCTGCTTTTTCAATTTTTGCCTTTAGCTCATCTTCCTTCAATGCAAGTTGCCGCAATTCATCAAGAGTCTCTTTTTCGCGGGTGTACTGGAGCTGGAGCGGCTTCAGTGTTTCCCTGTGCTTTGCAATCTCTTGTCGGACCTCATTTAGGCGTTCTTGCGAAGCAGCGTCGCTTTCCTTTGCCAACGCCGTTGCCTCAACCTCTAATAAGAAATAAAGAACACGCATGCACAGACTGACCGAAGAGAAAAGTTCACCTCCTCAAAGATGTGCACCTCGAAATGATCTATGGATGGTAGGGGAGCGTGGCAAATAAGAAAGCTATCTCCATAGACACCCATACTCTAATTATGTGCACGACGGAAGCTGAAGCAACCGTACCCAGCTGAAATATCAGTCGCTCGAGGCGGTCCATAATTTCTGGCTTGCTATCAACCTGAACGCGGGCGATCGCGCAGGCCTCGTCCATGAGATCAATGGCCTTATCGGGTAAGAATCTGGAAGTAATGTAGCGATCCTGCGTGGTAAGCACACGGGAAGCACTGCCATGAAACATATCTGGCTGTGCATATACCCGGATAACAAAAAGGGTTCTTCTCTCGCGTGTTTCCTCACTGATCCCTAGAAAACGAAGCATGCTGTCAAAGTGGAGCCATGGCGACTCCTCAAATGAAAGAAGGAAAGTGCTATTTCACAGTGGACGCTTACCGCCAGTTGAGCTGCTTCTACAAGGGCACTGTCCAGGATCCTAACTCCGTGATGTGCGGCGTAGCGATCCTTCAAACCTCGAAGGATGGATATCGTCGCAGAGACAGAAGGCTCGTGAACATGCACTTGCTGAAAACGTCTCTCAAACGCAGCGTCCTTCTCCACGTGCTTTCGGTACTCATCAAGGGTCGTTGCACCAATACAGCGGAGCTCTCCCCTGCAATAAAAAGGGCAACGAGCGCAGGGGCTTATGCGTCTCAAGTAACCCAGCTTGTTTTCTGATTATCGTTCCTCGCTACTTATTCCAAGCGCGCTTTTTTAGTCCTAAATTGCACGAAATAAGAATGAAGACGAGACAGCGACACTGATCAAGCATATACAAAAAGCCTGGATAGTTCCGCCAGCGTCTTACTCAGTGCAGCAGCTGATATGTACAGCAATTCACGCTTAGGAAAAATCTACATTATGTAGAAAGAACACAAATTAGTCTTAAAAAGTACGATCTCATGTACCTAGCGAGCATCGGCTTCAAAAGATTAGCTGCATCCATAGCACCATCTGTCTTGCCCGCACCCATGACCATATGTATCTCGTCAATAAAAAGAATAACCGAGCCCTCTGCATTCTTAACCTCCATTAGAACTGCTTTAAGACGTTCCTCGAATTCCCCCCGGTACTTCGCACCAGATATGAGGGCTCCCAAGTCGAGCGATATCACTCGGCAGCGCAATGAGGACGGCACATCCCCCTCAACAACACGTCTGGCAAGCCCCTCCACAATTGCAGACTTTCCCACACCTGGGCAGAATTCATACAGTTCAGCCTGACATATGTATGCTCTGTGGTTGTTGGGCTAGCAACATGGGGAAGCTGGCAGGGCATACCAAGACTTGCCTGGCTCGCCAATTAAGACAGGGTTATTCTTTGTTCTCCTGCAGAGAATGCGGATTACCCTTCTAATTTCCTCATCCCTGCCAATAACAGGGTCCAGCTTCCCCTGTTCCGCCAAGTCAGTGAAATCTATTCCATATTTCGTGAGAGCATCAAAGTTTTGGTCGGCCGCTTCTCCCGTTACTCGCGCTCCCGCTCGGAGCTTCATACAAACTTCCTTTATTTTCTTGTAGTCACAGCCAGCTTGCTGAAGTATGTGTTTAATTGTGCGGTTTTCGCATACTGCCAATAACAAATGGTCCACCGCCAGGTGAGTGTCCTCTGCAAGAAAAGCATCAAAACAGAGTCAGCTCGTTCGGTCGCTGGATGTCAGAGTTTATTCGAGGGAGGAAGAAATCGACAGAGGCCACGAGAGCGTATTCCGCAGTGCGGCATGGCTCAATCCCTCACAGGGCACTGGGCAAAACAACAAGCTTGCGTGAAGCCCCTATGTATAAGTCTAGGTTTCCAGACAGTTGTGCGTCGGGCGCACTCATTTCAGTTTGGATGGTTTTAGCTTGACGAAATACTGCAGTGCACGCATGGTTTGGTCCAATGTACTGAGGTGGAGGGTTCTGAGCTGGGAACTTCGAAATCTCCAAATCTACTTGTTCATGAAGGAGAGTCAGATCTGTCCCGACCTTCCGCAAGGCCTGGGTAGGAAGCTGCTGCGGATCTTGCAATAGGGCCGACAAAAGATGAACAGGGTCAATTTGTGGAGCTCCACGCTCCCTGCATATCTCCTGCGCAGCTGTGTAAACCTTGCGCACGAGCCCAGTCCACTGAGCCGGATCCATCTTCTGCTTGCACAAGATGTCGTGAACTTTAGTCCTCTATGTTACAATCTTTCCTACTAGTTTCACGGCGAGGCACAGTTTGTGCAGTTGCAATGGCTGGTCAAACGAAATCGCCGAAATTGCCTGACAGTGGAGTTGAGTCGGACGAGAATGCTGCTCAGCGTGTGTGGGTGAACCTTCTTAAAGACCCCAAGGAACTTGCCTTTAACTGCAAATTAATTTGGTAGGAACTTCGAAAAATAATTAGTGAGATGTTTCTATTGGCCGCCGCCACCAGCCGATTATGCTTGTGAACCTTAGCTGAACCACTGGCAGTCATGTGATGTGTGTGGAACAAGCATGCTACCTCAATCAGGCCCAAAGCTGGTACACTGTAGACGTAGCTTTAATACAAAAGAGCTGCAACAAAGTCACTTATGTATGCTGGGAATGCATTGTTTCAGTCACTTGGTGGCAAATAAGAGCCGATTTTCAGCTATGTAATTGAAGTGGGTCGCTGGACCACTCTGCAAGCTGCTGGTGAGCCTGGGTCGCATTTAGATTCCTTTCAGGTTCGTAAACCCGTCTGCTCAAAGGCTCACTATGAAAGCCGAGGCCAGTCCCAATAGCCTGCAAGGAGATTCACTGAAAGAGCAAAGTTTGCGCTTCCTCTAGCGCGTCCCACCCAATTGCTGGTCACCTTGCAATCAGTTGCCCTTAAGGCCCTGTGAAAGCTGAGTTCTCCGGACAAGTGCTATGAACATCTAGTCCTCAGTTAAATCTGAAAGTTATGTGATTCTTGGTGCTGTTTCACTTAATGTGCTTGGTGTCATGTTTTGCAGTTTCCGCAGCAGCCTGGCCAAAGCACTCTTGCGGAACCCCAGCAGGTTAATATGCAGCGAAATCGTACAAGAATAGTATGAACTTAAGACATGTAGAGTTACAGGGACCTTTGTCCATGCTGCAGTCCCATGCTATTTGAGGTGTTGCAATTTTTCCTATTCATACAGGTGCATATAATCCGTGATGAGCGGAAAGAGATATTGGCATTTGCTCACTGGCAGCTAACTCTACAATGCCGCGGCCATGAGACGGAAGAGAAACGCTGGGGCAACGCCGGAAAGTTGCGTCTCTCTTCAGCGGTAAGCAGAGTCTAAGAGCAGCCTGAGCAAGCAGCCTCTGGTCTGGAGGTTCTGTCGCAGACCACGGGTATAAGAGTTCCTGCACCTGGCTTCTAGATATGTCTTCTTCGAAAAAATAATATGCCATAATTCCTGCTTTATGAAATACTCTGGAAAAACACATACGTGTCGGACTTTGCAGTTTGGCGAAAGCGACGCATGTCTGGTTCACGGTGAGGACCGTACCGGTAATTCCAGCTCATTCACAAATTGGAGCGCTTGGTTGTAGCTAGAGAACATCTCTTGTTTGCAGCCCTATGGATGCTGCATGGTGTCCCGGCGCGTTCGGAAACCAGGACTTTCGTATCACAGGATGCCTCAGGTGCAGAAACTCTATAGCTGTTTTGAAGCTTTTCAAAAGCCTAGCCGCTGAGCCCTTTGGTACAGGCATTCTGGCAAAGGAAAGCCGAAAAGTTGGTGGCCCTATTTTGGAGGCAGTTCACTTCTGATTATAACCGTCACAAGACGAGACCCACCCCATCGTAAAGCGTTGCAGAAAAGACATGAACGCCACAGGACGTGCTGCAATCCAGTGTGAACACTCTAAATTGAACTAAGCTGGGTAGGGAGGGCCTTCTGGCTGCCAAAGAATTGTCATAGCTTTGTCTTCTTCGACTCCGTCTCGCCGCCATCTTCCATGGACAAGGTGCGACGCTGGAAGACAGGGCCAAATCTACTGCAGTTCCCATATGCTTCAGAGTCTCAAGAGCTACTCTCTGTCTAAAATATGCGGCAGTTAGTGGGTTGTGCAAGTTCAGGCACATGAAATTGCGCGACTTGTAGCTGTGGACGACGTTAACAAACGTGCCCCATGCTACCACGGCAACATGTTGAAATGCACAAAATGTGATATGCCGTGTCCCACACAGTGATACTAGTAGGTCCTGGGATGTGCAGTAAGAAGCCTATCATGCATGTGCGGCCGTCTGATTCGGAGAGAAGGTATTGCTTCTAATTAATTGTCTTTTGGTCCTTAATTCCAAGTAAGAGACGCACACGACAGCACTGCCCACTTAGTTAGCTTTGCTGATACCGCAAATGCAGTTGTATGCAATGACTGTGCAGTGGCTACTTTTCCGTGTATGCAACAACTGTGCAAAGTTTGAATACTAGAAAACGCAAAAAAATCTTTTTTTTTTAGCAAGGAGACGACTCCGTGTTTCCGTGTCCCTTCTGAAAAAACAGCGACGTGTTCTTGCCAGATTTCAACGTATGCAGTGGGTCTAGACTGACGTGCTGGGGTGTCCTGCAGCGAGGAAGGAACATGCCTTCTGTTATTCTCCTCTTCAGAGAGGGATGATCCAACGGCAACACTGCTCCAAGCATCCTTAAGAATAGGAGAAAGCTCTGCAGGAGGCATCCAGCACAGAAATACTTGAGGAGCTACTGAGCTGAATATGATGCAAAATACAGCCGGTTCTATACAGCACATGGCGAGAGCCTTGCGTGGCTGTGAGCGACCCATCCTCGTAGATGGGCAGCAATTCCCTTCAGCTAATATCAAGATGGCTGGGGTTTTTGCCGTTGCCTCTTTCTGATATTCTGCCCTTACAACGTAGCGCGGAAGCAATGTATGTGACCTGAAGAGACTCACGCGCCAAGTAGGCGAGGCGTCGACAAGTGCTTGCGCATTGCCAATGATTATGAGGCCTCCGCTAGCCCTAGATAATGCAACATTAATCCGTCGCGGGTCAAACAGGAAGAATTCATGGTCACTCTGCAAAAAATAAGCACTCGGCAACTTGACTGGAGAGCTGATAAAAAAAGCAACTATTGGGCGAATTTTCAGAGGAAAAGGCCATAAGACAAAACGCTGGCAAATCTGAAAAAGAGAAGACAGAGGTCGAGCAACCTAGCCCACAATTCAGACTCAGCGGTTAACAAACATGAATGAGCATGACACGCCCCTACACACTCATGCTGGTGTCTTTTCTAGCTATTGCCAACACAGAGCAACTGTAAGGGCCTTGAACTGCTTAAGTGCATACCCTACGAAACCCCTTGACAGCAGACAGGATGACGTATTTTCTCTCATGGCCCTGAAATCCGTCAACAGTAAAGACCTGCGGGTGTGGGCGGCACCTCTCATCCAGTACGTCGAGAGCCTGCGAAGCGCACAAATCTTATATCAGATGAGCGGGAAAGCCCCTCATCCAAATTTCAGTAATTACATAAAACGTCATCGCCAATTTTATTCAGTCTTATCTAAAGAGGGCCAGTAACAAGACCTGCCAGCCAAAACTTTTCATACTATGGCCTCTGCAAATGTAGTTCTCACAGGCTGAACAAAGCACAATCGACCTGAACGCCTTGAAGGCTTCTGGGCGCCATCTAGCTGCTCCTAAATCGCAAGCATACAAAAGAATGCAGCAGTCACAGACGGGAGCATGACTTTCACACTAAACTTCATTGTGACTCATGCAAGCAGTAACACTTACCACAGGGTGCAGAATCCGTGAAAGGAGCTGCGCTTGCGCCTGGTAAGGAGTAAGCACTGCTATTTCTGCCTTTGAGGCACCGCAACTGAGCAACGTTTCCACGCATCTGTAAACCAAAAAAGCCTCTCTGAAGAGAAACATATATCAAAGAAATGCACAAAAGCTACTATATTCATTTTATCTCTTTACCTTTGAACGAATCAGTAAAGACCACACAGTCCACATAAAATAAGAGGGCAGCACGATACACTCAACACAGATAATACACCCAATACACACCTCGTAAGCGATGCCAATGCTAGACACTAGTACATCTGATGCACCAAAATATTACGTAGGAAGGCAATGCTGTGGCAACGAATACTGACAGAGGATTCTGCAGAGAGCCTTTCACGCGTTGTTCCGCAGGTAGACTCTTCAAAAGTGGCCTGCATCCGTCTGTGACACTTCCTGGGGCCGTTGCAGCGGTACAACTGAGGGCTGCTGCTGCTAACTCCGTGGTCAAGACGGGTAGCTCAATCGTGGCCAACATGCCTGTCGGGCCTGACGCCCAAAGTGAGGTATCTACGAAAAGAACAGGGAGGACTTCCGGTATCGCATCGTAAGGCAGATTTTGTGACCAACAGGTTGCCGGGCGTGCAGGCCCTGAAGGCAAGAACTCTGTGTCCATTTGCTCCAAAAGCTTTTTGGCCAGATCCTTATCACCTTCGCTGCCATCAGGCCATGGAAAATTGTGATCGTGGTTGGTGCCATCCACCTTTAAGAATTGAGTGTCATTCGCATGATTGCTTCCGGCAAACTCCTCACACTGAGCCAGACCTATAACGTCGTAGAAATTTTGGCTCTCGACTTCGGTGGCATCTGGTGGGGCTAGCGGGCCCTCGGAAAATCCCGACAGAGACGTTGATCCAGCGACTGCGCGCTGCCCCTCTTGCTTTTGCTCGTTTTCAGGTCGGTTTGGGGGCTTGTGCGGCAGCAACGTTGAGCCCAAACGCGCAGGATGAGTCAAAAGCATGCCCTCATAAAAGTGAGCAGATATGAAAGCAGCAAGAAGGGGAGGCATCCGAAATTGGAGATTAAGAAGTACCGACCTGCATGCGCCACCTGCAAGTTAAACCAAAACACAAATCATGATCCTCTTCTGCGCTTCGCCTTGACACACCAAAGAACAAAACCAACTGCAAACGTCTAGAAAAAGAGACTCATCCTGACCCTTAAGAGCGCTAAATAGAGAACGAGGGGACGAAGATGGAGGCAGAGCAGACGCCGGTGGTAGCTGCCTCTCATCGCCGATCAAGACCACCAAGTCCGTGCCATTTACCAACGCCCCAAGGCCTGCAAACTCTGCGAAAAAAACGACTTTTGCCAAAACTCGCATTCTTAGGCACCAAGAGGAGCGTAG